TTCGAAAAGTCGCTCACCCAGTTTTGGCTTACCGGTTGCAAAATGCAGCACCCAGTCGGTTGATGGCCTTGCCATGCTTGTCGCGAACTGTTGAGCAAAGTTATACTAATATGAATCTCTCTCAGAGTTTATTGAATTGATTGTCCTTTCTGAGGATGCTATCTTAGTTCTTAAATGCATGTTTTAGATTAATCTCATAATTTCCTCCCAATCTTCAGATATAGCCCAATAATTACAATTATTTATGCAAACAGCTCGTATTTCCCTTCTTTACATGGTTCTAAAATTGGTCCTGTTTGTTCCCTTAATAGCAAATTATAAGTGGAAAGTATAACCAAGCATGGTAAAATTAATGCTGTTTAATAGGAGATTAAGTGACTCGATTGTAATGACAAAATACAAATTACAAATGCTAGCAGAATTATGCATAGGTAGGTGGGAATCTATCTAATAACATATGCATGACTCGAATATAGCCAGTGACGCTTTAATCTTGTATTTCAATTGCATACAGATTAACAATCTTTAAAAGGTGATTCTTTATTTAGATGTTATGATATGTTATTCGACACGAACGCACGAGCCGAGGTCGGTCTTACGCCCGTCTTTAAAGTCGCTTCTTCCATCACCATCTCCGGTGTGAGTGGCGTTGGTCCCTCTAGAGCGTAGAGCCTGTCAGGTACATTTGGAGCTAGCACAGAGATCCAGTTGGAAGCAGCTTCCAGTTTCGTTTCCGTGCTCTCCAACAGCACGGCATCCGAGAGGAGCGCGTTTCTTGCTGCATCTCCTTCAGCTTGTATCGCGAACCCTAAGTTGACGACAGTGACCTGCTTGATTGCAGAGTTAGCCAAGCGAAGCTTGCTTGCGAGGCTTATTTTTATGTAGTGAGGAGACATGCGTCTCCACGGGTGGTCGGGCTTGACCCGCAGGAACACACGTTCGTCAGGGCGGGCCGGCTTGGAAGCGGGGGTATTTGGCTTAGGCGCTTGTGTAGGCCCAGTTGCTTTTGACTGGGTGTCAAACTCGAGGGTACCAGGGGTTGTGTTTTATGGATAACTTAGAAGTGCGAGTGATATCTGACAAGATTTGTCATAGACTAAGGTATTAATTCGGGATTCTAGCTATAACTGAGGACAAGGGACAAGAGAAACTAGGACAAGAGACAAGGTCAATGGAAGACGGAAAACAAGACGTGGTCCTCTACATCGGCTCTACCCAACCCATATATACATCATAGTAGCCAGAGCAACTAAGGCTTCAAGGGGTGCGCCTGCTGCCATTCTATTACTTCATTTGTAACCCATAGCAACCATTGTAACCCGGTAAACGCTCTAAGATGAGAGAATATTCAGATAAGGTGTAGGGAAAGAATATGAGGGTGCTGCTCTATCCTCAGTTCCTGACACTGGGACCCATTGACTGTTGTCGATGTTAATGCCACTGGTTGTACAGGCTTTGGCTTTTTCCTGACCACCTGAGTCCAGGATCTCTCAGTGGTGTTGGTATTATTGGGCTCGTCGCCTTCGACTTGCCTAGTAGGCTTTGTCGAAGCCGGCTCTTTGCCTTTTACCTGGCTGCTGATTTCTCTCGCGAGGATTTGCACAGGTCGTGGGGTGCTCGCGTTATTTTTTCCTCCTGGCTTTATAGCCGGTGGCGGAAGGGTTGTCGTCTTGCTACTACTGGCAGCCTCTGATGGCCCACTGGATAGGGGCTGGGGGTTTCCGCGCAGGATGTTTGTAATAATGGCCTGTAAGGCCTCTCCATTCTTTTCAACAGCGCGTCGGAGCTGTATGTCGGTTGTAGCAGCCAGTAGGTTAATGTACCCACTGACGATACGCTCAGCCTCTGCGAAGCGTAAATTAAAAACTCTCGCTTCATCTGCGAGGAAGTTAGTCATAGTGACACCTAATGACTCGGTTTGGTTTGGGGGCAAGTACTGGAAGCTCGCCTCGCAGATAGGCTCCGCGTTTGTTTGTATAATACTTGGATGGTTGGGTGGCCCTGTAAGGACCATTTCGACATCAGGACGCGTCAAATTAACGGGTGGAAGGAGGGCCAAGAGCCAGCCTCTGCGGAGGACTGGGGCGGCATGAGTAAGTGAACGGTATTTATGACAGTAACAGGTTGTATATGATATGTGATTTTGTCACTTGGGACGTGGAAAGAAAAATGGGTGGATGAAGTGTGTTGTCTGAGAATAGAGGATGAATTGATGTGGCGAACAGCTGGTCGGACTCTTTTGTAATTTCTAGGTGCTGTAGATTGTTTGTTTATTATTTAACGTCTAACTAATTATTATAAACTAGTCTCGAATTGGAAAAGGTCGCCAGAGCTTACTGCTCTAGAAATCGGGGGCACCCAGCTTCATCAAACAAAGAAGGGGCCCAAGATGAAATACGGTGTCAGATGAATTAACACGTCGCGCTGTCTACGGAAATTTATGCCTCCCAGAAGGAATGAGAGCCAGTCATAGTAGGAAGAACATCTTCTCGATATGCTAAATTAAATTAGAGGAAAGGAAAGAAAAGAAAATTTAGCCCATGAGCATTCTTTTATTTTTTTTTCTTTAAACTGCTGCTAAGCCTCGTTTATTGATGTCTCAGGAGGAATCTAGGGACAAATTTTGGTGAAAGACTGTGATTTTACAAGCCATTGTACAAGCTTTGATGCTCAAGTGAGGGTCCCAAGAACTTCAATTTGTCTGGAGAGCTCCTGGGTGGTTTGAGGGGGCTTGATGTGATCAGTCTATAGTTTAGGAAATGTGCAGGGGACTTAAGTTTGCTGCAGCTGCAGGTACTGTGGGCGGGGTCGTGGTTGAAGCGATTATGATAGGCTGCGTAATCTCCGTGTCCAGAGCGAGCAGCGTATATATGGGTAGTATGATGTCGAGGTAGTGATAGCTCTACGGGGAAGCCCACAGGATACTCGATTTCCAAGTCTTGATATGACTGAGGGGCATGCTTTGCCCAGTACTCTTTGTGAGCTTTGATTAGTATGTTCTTGACCCAAGCTTTTGCCGAGGCAATTGTGAGTGGAGATGGGGACGGGTGCGGCATGGCCAAAGCATCTTTCGCTGCTTTGTCTGCTAGAACGTTACGTAAGAGTCCAGAGTGGCTTGGGATCCAATGAACCCGGACTTCCCCTGGAATAGTAAGGGGGAGGCGCGTGCGGCCTGGCCATTCTTGAGCTTTTAATGCGAATTTTTTGAATACGTCTTGAGAAAAACAGGTCGGGGTTGATAGAAGCTGTCGGGCTACATCTAAAATATCGAGTAGGACCCATAAGTTGTTTGTAAAGCGTGTAGAAGGAAGATCTATTGCTGTCTCTATAGCGCTTAAAGCGGCTGCGGCTTCTGCATCAAATATCTCGAGTGATTGGTTCAGAGGTGTTCTTTTCTCGCAGATCATATGAGCTGCTTGGAAGGTTACGAAACTGCCTCTGACATAAGGTCCTGAAGCTGATTCTATGCGGCTGCCATCCAAATATACAACTAAGTCTTGTGAGGGGATCCCCTCAGGAAGTTGATATGAGGCAGCAGCGACCCCTCTAGTCCTTGAGAACCAACTCTCCTTTGCTAACCAGGGGAGGTTGGCCAGAGGGTCCAAATCTCTGTAGACGGGAGGCTTAGGGCCCACCCAGAAAGGCGTGAGACACGTCTTTATTGGCTAAAGATCCAAATGTTCCGCCGGCGGAAAGGGTGCCGTGGGTCGAGGCGGTGTATGCGGAGGGATGCTTGACGAAGTTTTGAGTCCAGCGCGATTTCTGGAGGGGAGTGGCCTGCTTCTCTATGTAGCGCGCTAATTTTATCAAGCTTTTGGAGGGAAAGATGTCCCTTCACTAAGTTTGAGACGGTCCCAGTTGGGGAGATAGCACGTGTCAGGCCTGGCCACCATGTTTCAGCTACTTTTTTTTAAATCATTTAATATGTATTCAGCTATAAAGCTATGACACATGACCGGTGCTATGTACACATGTGCGATGACTCTTTTGACGTTAAAGACACTCATACTCTGTATTTCATTCGCAAATACCACTATAAGGTATGCTTGCTTACACAAACAGTCGATCCTCCTCCGTAAGTACCCACTAAAGGGAATTTCAAAACCTTTGGTTATCCGAGCATACCAGCGCCGCGAGAAAAGTGGTTGTGTTTTGCTGGATTTGAACCAGCGATCTACTTTCTCGAGTGGGATATATGTCCAAGCTATCCAAACTCTACTTGGCAGACCAGCCAAGACGATGTACCACCGCACCATCCAACCATGGCGGTGTTTATAGTGTCGCCTGCACCCTCGCAACCGAAGCCTTCGCACGCACAAAGCTCAATCTGTAAAAACTCCTGGCCGAAATTCAAAATTTGAGGTTCGTCAGGACTGTTCTCATCCTCTGTATCATCTTATCAACTTGTCCTGATCCCTCTCACGTCCGTCCCAAAGAACTGTCTCCCAGATTTGTGGTTCACGCTTTGCTTCCCCCGTCGAGTGTAAATATCAGCGTGAGCATGTATTTGGCGACCAACTGAGGCCAGAAAAAGTCGATGAGAGGTGTGATAATTGAGATGAGGACGTACTAGGTCGTACTTGTAGACTTGATGAGGCTTAGGTAGGAATCAATTTCGCTGGGAGTGAAAGATTGAGATGGCGAAGCAATTTGAACTATTCACTCTTGGGCCAACTTGTTCGGGGTTGTGAAATTCGAATAAACCTGGCTCTGGGAGAATGTTTCACTCCCAGGTTCGTAGAGGATACCGCGTACAGGTGTTCAGTCTTGCCCTCCTACCTAGCGGACTAGGCCGTAGTAGTCAAATGTTTCCAGCAAGCATAAGTTGAAAAATTAAGGAAAAAGTGGGGCATTTCGAGCTAGAGAGTATCAAATCGTGCACCATCGCTCTCAAGTAACATACTACAGTCTACAGTGCTATTTAAATTGCCTGTGTAAGGGAACAAAGGGATATCAACTCACCAGAAAAGTCTATTGAGTCTTGGAATTCATCATTAAAAATGGTTAATATTACAGAGAAAATTAAGGAGTAAGTCTCGGGGTTTTCTACCAACTCCGCCTGAGTAATAACGGCTAATGAGACTTGAGGATCGAGGAGGAGATGAGGCGGACGCAGAGTGAGTTGTCTCGCGCCCCTAGTTCTACGAAATGCACTAAGCTCTGATCTTCGTTTCCATCGCATAGAAAACAAGGCGACGGGTGAGTGATTCTAATCCTCTCGAGGGATGGGTATACTTGCAAAGGACTCACTGGTCCACGGACAGAATACCATCTCGGTCTCTTGAAAGGGTAGGCCATACAGAACCATAGTCGACTGAGAGATGCATCTAATGCCCGATGATAGAAAACTCGCCCGTTATCGTGCCCAGCTCCTTGAACCTGGCCCAGGCGCTGGCGGTGGTGGAGGCGCTGGCTTTGATGTGAGCAAAAGTGGTGATGCAAGAATTGCCCTTGTCGGATTTCCATCCGTGGGAAAATCTACGTTCCTCTCAAAAATCACAAAGACTAAATCAGAAGTCGCGGCTTACTCTTTTACCACCCTTACCGCTATACCGGGAGTGCTTGAGTATGGTGGTGCAGAGATTCAGGTATTGGACTTACCAGGTATCATCGAAGGGGCATCAGAAGGCAAAGGAAGGGGCCGTCAGGTCATCTCCGCTGCAAAAACGAGTGATTTAATATTGATGATACTTGATGCTACGAAAAAAGCTGAGCAGCGAGCGCTCCTCGAAGCTGAGCTGGAGGCCGTGGGCATCAGACTTAATATGGAACCGCCGTAAGCCTAACCAAGTCCTCTCCTTATAAATCAAAAACTCAGGAGACAGGAATATCTATCTGAAACCCAAAGCTGCCGGTGGAATGAAAATCACATTTCAAACTCCACCCAAGTACATAGACCAAAAAATGGTTTACAATATCCTCCGCGATTATAAGATGCTCAATTGCGAGGTTCTAGTGCGAGATGAAAACGTTACCGTCGACGACTTCATCGATGTGATTATGAAAGATCACCGGAAGTACATTAAATGTCTTTATGTCTACAACAAGATCGACTCTGTATCATTAGACTTTTTGGATAAACTAGCTCGAGAACCGAACACGGTGGTCATGAGCTGTGAGCTTGATTTAGGCATACCTGATGTAGTTGATAGATGTTGGGAGGAACTAAAACTTATCAGAATCTACACAAAGAGAAAGGGCGTTGATCCAGATTTTAACGAGGCGTTAATAGTTCGAGATAAAAGTACGATAGAGGAGGTATGTGATCAGGTTCACAGGTCATTGAAAGATACCTTCAAATACGCTCTAGTGTGGGGAGCGAGTGCTAGACACGTACCGCAGAAGGTTGGGTTAGGGCACATCGTTGCGGATGAGGACGTGGTGAGCATTATTTCAAACTGGAGAGCATAATTATTAAAGAAACCTTTATTCATGTTCCACGTCATTTTCGCGTTATCTATACCGTTAACTCCGCAGTTTCCGTTTCCCAAACCCCGGTGTTCGACATTCCTCCAATCTCTGTGCCCACTTCGTGTTGCATAGTCATCCGGTCGCCAGGGACGAAGGAAAGAGAAAAAGTTTTTGTCTTATTAGATATGCAATTTTAGCTTGAAGGCCTGTCCAACGGGATCTACTCAAGGCAGTTTATATCCTCGTCCCAAAGTAATCCTTAATAATCGAAATTCTTGCTATCCTTTTAAATATTCGCTAGAACATTTATACTTTGGATTCATCAGCTTCTGTTGTTAGACTGTTTGTCGAGCTTGTTCCAAATATATTTCCGGGAGGACCAAGACCTGCAGGGTTTCTTGCAAACAATGATTTAGGCTTTAGCCTGGTGAAAGTTAGATTAAAGATTCATCATAGGTTGAAAAAAGATAAACCCACTTTCCGGCTTGCTTGCCGCGGTAAGCACTTAATTTAGCAGTGCATGGGCTCATAATTGTGTCGGACGGTGAGGTATAGGTTGGCCTTGATCTAAAAAACGAGTGTGAGATCGGGAAGTCTTGCAAAGAAAAGTTTACGAGCGATCGATTTTTGGCTTACAGGCTTTCACCAAACAATGAACGAGGAGCTTGATGTTGGAATCCCATTATTCTTGCGTCACTTTTGGATTCGGGCTCTTTGTCGGCGTCTGCCTTGCCTGGCGCCTGTACGGTTGGGGCGTTGGTATCGCGGTCTTTGAGAACACTGCTGGACATCCTGAATAATTTTGGAAGTTTTCCGGATATGATTGTAACCGCTGGTAGACGAAAGATAATGCAGTGATGTCTTGATAAAGACCTTGGGGGGGGCACCAAGTAAATAAAGTCTGGTTGTCACGAGTGACTCGCCTGATATTTATCCTTGACCATGGATTAAGTGTAGGATTACGTATGTACGACGGCTGACAAAGTCAATTCGCGTCAGGGCGTCGAACTATTTGTTGTTGGTAAACAATTGCACAGCATAACATGGTGATGGATGCTATAATTAACAAGTGCTAACCCAAAATCCATGTATCCTCTAAAATATACCTTTTCTCTTTCAATTACGATGTATTTGGTAATTCGCACCTAGACTTAATTTGTGCAACTTTCCCATTTGAACCTAACAGTTCTAGATAACGCACCAATATTGCTTTCTCAGTCACGCCAACGTGGACGTACTAGATCTATCTAGGGTTTGTGGTAGATAACCCCCGTTTTTGGGGAGTATTCTTTTCTCACCTACCGCTACAAATAGCGCACCTGCTTTCATCGCCCCTTGGAGCAGCGTGCACTCAAATTTTGCTACCAGATGACTTGAGGCAAGTACAAGGTACAACATGCGAACGAAATGAGGAGGAATATTTATTTGATACAGTCATTTCTTGTCTCATTTAGATATCCGTTATATCGGGACATTTTAGCCTCCGTATCTGTGGACCTGGAGTAGATCAGTCTCTTCATTTTCTCTGACCTCAAAGCATTAAGTGCTTAAATAAATCACAGCCATTTCTTGAGACTTGAGTGTCTAACCAAGATTTGATATGCGAGAGAAAATCAAAAACTAGCTACAAATATCCTCGCAACATGTAGGCTGCGTAAAGCTCCATGTACTAGATAATACCGACAGAGAAACTAATGCGCATGCTAGGCTTGGACAGGTTCCTATGTATCCATTATCAGGATCAAATGATTACTGCGACAGGAGCTAGTGGACTACAATTGAACTAGGAATCCCTTGACCCACATCTGCGCATTGTATATCTGTCGCACCTTTGCCGATAGACATGCAGACAACAAGCAGCTAACCTGGAAAAGACTAGATAACATTAGATTATATGCAATGAGAGAGTTCTTGGAGAGTTCATTACCAATGAAGCCTTGTCTAAATTGTGTTCTCATGCACAGCATGAATTGTCATTCTTTTATTTAATGGATAGCTCCCGCCAATTTCAGGGCACTCATGGATGCTACTTTTCTTCTAGACAAAGGGTTATGATCGATTACTATTCACCTAGACTAACTATGACTACCAAAGGTTTGGGACCCAATTCAAAAGCACTATGGGTCCTAGTCGGTTGTATTGTCATCTATCACGTGATCATGTAGAATGATTGCCAGGATAGGTCTGACAAAGAAGCTGAGATCTCCCGCTATGCTGTTTGAAAGCAGTTTTGTGTTATCGACCAATCACTCCGTCCAAAATCCGTGCAACATCGCTGATAGCGAACACCATGTTCAAGACTGCCTCTGGAACATAAGCTGGCGCTTCACTAGTATATATTCCACTGCAAGATGACGTCCAATTGACGCAGATTGAACCCACTACATATCCAGGCGTATGAAACTCTAGAGGGAGCTGTATCTCAACTCGGCTTTCGCTTGTCTAAGATCGAGATGGGGTCATCTCAAAAAGACTTCAAAGTGTAAAGCGAATGTCAACTTTGTAAGCAGTAGAAGAAATACCACAATTCCAATATTCAGTGCCGCTGTAGGTACAGTACAGCACGACTAACAATTAGGGAGCGGTGGAAGTAGAAAATGAGAAGGGAGATAGCCTGACATCCACTGTGTGATTCGGCTATAAATATTCATCTTACAAACCAGCGGTTTGTAAGATGTAGTTGTAGAGGAAAATCTAGGGCATACTACTGCAGAGAGAAATTACATCAGGCGTAGTTCAATGGGTGTTAAGGAGATGGGTAACAGAAAACTACATAATCTGATGACAGAATTAGAAGCATTTACAGTAGATGAGTAAGAACGAAGATAGAAACTCTTTTATTCACTGCCTGATAATTCTACGTTTACAAGGTTTAGACGTAAAGAAAAGTCTCATCAGCCTGGAATTTGAGTTTTACCCAAACATGGCGAAAAGACTATATACATATTCAAGGGAACAATCGGTGATCCGAGATAATCGGACGAAGCTACTTGCATGTAGAGGGCACTAGTTCGACTGGGCATAATTGATTCATAAGTATCTGAAACATTTGGCACGGGATAAAGTGAGTGAAGGCGACAAAAAGCCTCTATGCTGCGTACATTAAAAATCTCAAATAATTCTTTACTCCACACTTACATGACCATGACACGAGATCTGTGCTTATTTTTCGTACTCGATGAGCGCTTTTCAGAGTTTCATGCATCTTATTTTACACGGATGTACCACTATGAGGTATGGGGGGAGGGGGCGAAAACTCAATACCTATCAGTAGTATCCTCTACAAACCTCCAGCTCTCGCTGTCGATTCTGCAGAGCCAAGAATGTGTAAAAGTCATCACTTTGACGAGGATTCTCAATCGCTTTCGCCGCCTGTATCATCTAATCTCTGAACATAAACCCCATATTGTTATGCTCAGCTATATAGTATGGTAGATCTAGTAGCTGGTGCATAGGTAGTTGATATGGCAGCATGGCATTATGGCGCATGGAGGAGATTCAGTCTCTACATAACGACATTACATGTAGTAATGTGTGCAGTACGAGAGATGGGTTGTTGATATAGGACAATTGGCATGGCTGCTTAGTTGCTTGCACACTTTGGTGCGCTGCATACTGGTAACGTGATCGGTCTACAAGCAAACAAGCTAGGGCATAAGGGACGAGCTTCGCCCAACCTGTAACATAACAATTATCATAGTCACCTCACTTCTGCACACTAATGAAGATATCTCTCCACATACTATCTTAGCTGTTCCAGCGCAAGTGTACATCCCCAAATCATATATCAATCATAATACATATCACCACTACCATGAAGCTAGCCACGATCAGGTCAGATTTTGGGGCTGAAACTCATTTCATCACCCACCCTTGATCGTGGACGAGAAGCCATCCGATGAGTTTCCGGAGCGTACCCAGCGCCCGATACGGATATGGTGGATTGGATCAAGTCAGCCTCGACTGTTACAAAGAAGGGAGATACAGATGAATATGCGCATCTCATGTGGCCCCGCTCGAAGTTCGAGAATGGCAGTTGTCCAGTGACTACATCCAGGAGAGTGGAATATTTTTTCTTCATTAAGTGTATGCAGTCTGACCAACTATGACACTATGTACAATTATTCCCTTCTCAACACAGACACCTCCTTATTCCATCATTTTAGGTACATTATGATACAAAGAAAGTTCTTAAAAAGCAGCCTGCAATTAATTAGTTGGTTGATTTCGATCTCCCTCATCCTTACCCCCAGAAAGGCTGCCAGTTGTTGAAAGATATTTTAGGAGCGAAGTTTCCCCCACGTTTGTGTTGAATATATTTGAAAGAGAGAATGGTGATAAATTTTTGAATTCTTTTCTCTGTTTTTTGAGGAATGAACCGTAAAGTAGTAAATGTTTAATTCTTTGTACACTTTTTGTGCAGTGATTGCAAATATTAGTATTGCTTTTCCCAATATTATTCATATATGCCAGTTCTAGCTTGTATATATGCTGACTGGGGCTTTCTAGAAAATTTGGGCATGTTGAATGGTTTGAATTTGAAGTTGGGTATGTGGTACTTAGCCTGGGCTCTATATAGTTTCCCCAGTGCTGTAGCTCTTTTCCCTTCCTCTTCACCTTGTAGTTGGTATTAAAGTTCTGGGGGGTATCTGGAATGATAGAAGTGAACATTGACCGTCAAGTCAATACTGTACGAATCGTAAGATATTGAGGATTTAAGGACCAAAGAGGTTTTTGGTTTTACTGAACTTTTATTTAGTTAAGAGTGTTAGAGTTTAATCTACATCTAATTGTCTATCTATGTTCTACTTCGCTTAGGTAGAAACATTATGTTCTGATTGCGTGATGGAATAATAGTTGGGATGTCCAGTCTTTAGACCAGGCATCCTTAATAAACAGTCTTACCTCTTGTTTAAGAAAGCTGAGTGTTGTGAAGAGATGTTATTTGATTGGCTTTTCATTTGTAGCTCTTCTTGCTAGAGAGTCAGCTAGCTCATTAC